TGGGTGTGGTGGCAGTAAGGTGTTTCCCTCATAAAACTGGCATCTCGAGAGATGTTGCTTTCTCATAACGGAAGCAAATGACTAGAAAAGACCGACCTTAACAATGTCAAACCTCACCTTATTCCACGGATTTCCGTCTCTGGCTGCAAGGACTTCCGAAGTTCGTAGGTAACATCAAAACCCTGCCACGGAAATTCTGTATGTGATCTGCCGCAAACAGTGGCCACTTTGACTTGGGCAGATGGGAAGTTGCAATCGTCTTCATATATCTAACGTCTTCTACGATTATCTTGTTCACAATCATGTCACTCCTTTACGTTTTTATTCTTCTCTCCTTACTACAAACTCTACTCATATCTTTATCACCGCGCACTAAACATCATGTTGTAGCGTGTAATGTAGGAGAACTGGCTTCATTAACTAGGACTCGAATCCAAGTACGGTTACTTGTTTGACTTTACCTTGCCAATATAAAAACCGGTACGATCTTATATAATCTTAACAGGCCATCCTAGACTAGATTCTAATAGTCACTTAATAGCTATCTGAATAAAACTAAACAGTAATGACTCGAACTGACGCTGTGTTGTCTCTGCCTATTCGGTTCGGATGAAGTGAACGATTAACTTTATAGGGAGCTTGTTAACCTCTTTCAAGAAGCTAAATAGTCAAATGCATTAACAGCGGAACCAGATCGAACGGCACGGCATCGTGACTCAGTGAACAAATGATAGTAACTTCTGCAACCATCAGATAATCGTCTTTTTCTAGCAGGTACCAACTTTAAGTATTGTCTGACATGGTGAACCTCACGACACTCAATGTGGAGTCAAGAATTTTGGCATTATCTTTCGTCAAAGAAGCTCGGTAGAACACTGCTTCTCATTTTGGAGCACGTGTTTAGACTACGATCATGTTCTTATGTGAGCATGTATTTTTTCCGACTTACTGAAAGTAGAGAAGTCGTAGCAAAATCTTAAAGTAGGTCTTTTAACTCTTAGTGAGGCTACAGGCAATTTAAAGATCAGAAATCCTAATTGCATAACTAATGATAATTTTACGAATCGTTTGTTAATTTAAACAAAGTGATGATTGAGGTAGAATCCGAAAAGCGAACGTAGTTTTGTGCGACTAGTCACGATCATGCTTGTCTATTATAGAGGACAAAAGTTATTGTAACAACCACAGAAGAGTCACTTTCAGTAATATAGTGTCTGAATTATAAACTCGGTGATACTTTAAAGTCTAACTAGAGATTGTGAAGAAGTCCGGTTGTTTGTCATGAGGTTCTGTGGGGGTGTCTGTCATCGAAAGGACTAAAATACTTTTGCGACAATCACAGAGGAATCAGTTTAATTAATTTAGTGTCTGAAATACCAGCCTCAATGATATTTCGACGTCTAACTCGAGCTCGTAATGAGCAAACCCCAGAAAAAAAACTAGGATGGTTTCAGACCTAGACGTAAATGTACAGATCAAATATTCTCGTTTCGGCAGGTTCTGGAAAGTAGACACACTTTTCGACGTCCGATGATAGATGTAGTTCTTGGCCTTAAGGTGGCTTTCGACTCTGTTAGTTCATGGAATTCTGTGGGATTGTCTGCCATCGAAAGGCATAACCAAGTACGTAAACCTTGTACAGGCTCTCTATTCGGACAATGCTGGTCGAGTCAGAGCTTATGGTGAACTGTCATTAGGATCGGTCACTTCAAGTGGTGCTCGGTAGGGTTGTCAGCTTCCTCCATTTTTATTTATCTCTTTACGGATTCGAAAAGCTCGATCGGCTCTTTTGAACTTTCGTCATTTATGGGATAGGCGAGATATCCGTCTGCCAACTAAAGTGCGAGTATACTGCATGGCAGTTCGCTCCGTTCTCCTTGGTGGTTATGAAACATAGGCTTTAAGAACAGGGACTATTCGTAGGTTACTGGAATTTAACCATATATGTCTTCGAAGCATTACTCATGTATTGTGAAGCCGGTGAGTATGCAATCCATAAGTTACGAATGGGGTACCAGATAATAGTGGGAAGTTTATTGATGGGGTAGTAAATCCTCATCTGGTGAGGTGATTAGGACATGCTACGTATCCCCACCCACTGTCCATCTCGAAGAGCGATATTGCCTGATGTGGGGTTAAGCTAATTGAGTCCGCGTGAGTATCGTAACTATTAGTTAGAGCCTGTTATGTGCCGACAAGAATAATGAGGGGTAGTTTTTGGGATCTGGTTGTGAACCAATACTATAGGTATATTTCGCCGTATAATTGTTAATTAACTAAACTATTATCCATTATATGTTTCTATGGCAGTCGAGTGACTGACTCATCCAATAATTAAAAATACTTCCATGGCATATACGTTTGAATTGTTTGTGACCGCCCGTTTCTGGCAGTTTGCAGAATATACTTTCCGATTCCAAGCAGGGCTGGGACGCATCAATAGTAGGTCTTTGGTCACTGAGTCTTTGTTTTCGATCGCAGATTAAGTGAAATCGTGATAGCTTCAAACCTAGCAAATTTGGCAACGGGGATGGGATTCGAATCCACGAGCGGAAGTCCCAATGGGTGAGGCGGCTGAACATCGTCTGCAATGGTTCATGTGCATCAACTTTTGGTCGTCCCTTAGATCCCAAATTTTTGGATTATTCACTAACTCATACTTTTTCTCGAGTCGTGTCTTCGAAGTTTATTTTTTTCTATTACCATTAATACTGTATCTACGTTCACTACTTTGGGATCATCTTGATATGTTAATTGAGTTTAGGAGCTTGAAACGATATACGTACGTACCAGGTTCTAGATTGCGACTGACTGGACCAGTTATATAAAGGTATAAAAAGATACTTTGATGAGGCACTTCGGTCTTATAATGCAGAAATCCTTCATTTGGTTAAGTATTAACTATTTCAACATGAATGCTAGGTTGTAAAGCCCTACTGTTCGCACTGAAAGATATTCAGTTACACCTGACTGGAAATGCTTTTATGAGGCTCTACCTTTGACGTATATTAGAGCAAAACAAGGGTTTGAGCAGAGAACTATGAGTTCTACGTTGTAGACTGTTCTTTCACACAGGTTATATGTTAACAATATTTAGTGTATTAAAATTATTCAAAGCTTCGTTATACTCTATTCATGTGCGATCACGGTAACATCCATATAACTATGATTTTTAAATCCAACAGGTTGTAAGCAGTTGGCGAGACCCAAACGAAATAAAATGAATTCATGATATTCTGCTAAAGTTTTGGCTTTTTTATCGTCTCAAAGAGAACAAGTATCATATAGGCTGTAATACGGCAACGAAGCTAAGCTAACTAATTAAAACTGACATTTTTTGCTGAGATATCACTTGTAATATCAGTAAGGCTGTAGAACTCATTCTCTAAAGGGATCAGTTTCTCTTATCATAACATTTGGTGGTCAGTGTTCTTTTCACATACTACAAAACATCTTATTTTTCTTGACTGTCACTGCAAGTTATTCACGTTTTATCAATCTACCTACGCAGAGGAAGAATATTAGTGCTGCGTAAGAAGCTTTGCTCGTTAAATCAGTCTGTTGTTAGACAACAGATATCCAATAAATCTGATTACCTATGCTAGATCAATTTGGAGCAATTCATAAGATAAATCATTAAGAAAGTCGACATATCTTACATATATGAATTAAAATTTCATAATTTAAATTAGGTTTGCAAACATGATAATTATCACGGAAGTGGGTATTAGATGTTTTGAAACAATTAACAAAATGAAAACCTCGAGTCGATACAGAAAATCGCGTTCGTTTTTCTCAAAACGTTATTGGAAAAGATAAACAGCGGAGTACTGTTTGTTTAGTTATTGTGTGAAAATACAGAGAAATCAGTGGAGGCAAATAATAAATACTATACATTAAAACGACGTTTTCCCTTATGGAACTCGTAAACTACAAGTTCAGTTTTGAACAAGTTACTTATCCAACACTTTCGTTAATTCTTACAACACACAATCCAAGCTTGTACTTTTATATGAATTAACGGTTCAGAAATATTGACAAGTTATAGCTTCACTATATCTGTTTGACTCCATTTATTAGACAATAATAATGCTGTCGAAGTTGATTCACATACACTTGGGTCAGGATTTTTGCCGTCATCACCTTGACTATCAAATTTAGCGAGTAAGCGATAAAACTCTGTGGCTGTAGGAGGTTCATAAATAGGGAAGTTTGTTGAATGATTCAAATCGTTGACAGATGAAATATGTGTTTTTGAGCTACATGGAGCAGTGTCAGATCGATCAGGAGAAAAAGAGTCGCTTTGTGGAGGGTAAGATATAGTGTTATGGTTTGGAGTGGTTGGAAGTGAAAGTGAATTTTCTTCATTGGCAGGACGATCATTTAAAACATCAACTTGCGTAGTTTTCTCAGTCTGCAAATCTGGATGCTGACTGGGATGAGTAGAATTATTTGTTTTTTCAGGAGTTGTTTTATGAGATTCATCAGCATCATCGCCGTCCGAAATAATGACCGGGGACGATGGGTTGTTTAAGTTGATTAGTTTCTCAGGACTCGGATGATATTTACGAATGAATATCTTATTATGACGTCTTGAGTGACAATAACAGCAGCACGAATGCCTGTGACGATACTTACGATGATAACGGTCGCAATGACTACGGTGATAGTGATAGTTTTTACGATGGGTAGTTTTGCGTTGATGTGAAGAATTAAACAAGTGCATTGCTACTGAACTGAATTTTGAAGTTTTCTGCCATTCACTTGAAGAGGATGACGACCTTGATGAGAAAACTGATCTAGAAGTTGAACACGACGAATCACTATCTATTTTAATCGATTCTCTAATAAGTTCGCAATCACTATCTGTGTTTTCTAAATGACTGATATTTAACTTTCTCCTGCGATGACGATAGTGTGATTCATGCTTTGTTTGAGAGTGGTAATAGTATTTCAGAGAATTCCTAGGAGAAAAAATATTAAATCTGTTTCCCGCAGTATCAGCTCCAGTGTTTTTTGAACAATCGGATTCTACAGTAAACTTATTTTCACATGTAAGATTTGTCGACTTTTTAGGTAAATCAGTCAAACATGAACCACAAGCACTAGATGATGGGATTGTCGAATACGAAATCTCATCAGGTCGTTCGTCTACTTCCATAGGCTCTTCACGACGGGATATGGCTGAATGCCGCTCAGTGAAACCATCACTCCAGTTGGAATTTGTGTTGGTGGAAGACAACACTGATGAACTAAGAGATAATTCAGTATTAACATTATGCATGTTGTCAATTCCCGAATAACTTTGTGCAGTGTTTAAATGAAAAGCTTTATTCTTGTCTGTTTCTTGGATTGAGTGTTGAACAGATTCGTTTACAGTTGAAAAATCACTTTGTAAAGGCATATTTGAAAACGTCTTAAATAACGAACCAAGAGATGCAGTAGATTCACATCTGTTTGTTCGACTATCTGGGGAAGATTCATGACCTGGTTCCGATTCGTCAGAGGTTAATACATTGAATTGAGTGGGAGCTACACACGGTTCATTATGACCTATTGTTTCTTCATCTGAGGAGTCCGATGATATGACAACATATGGAGCCGTGTCACGCCAACCACCAGGTGAATTGTGTACTGGTGTGGACTCGTCAGCTGATGTAATTGATCCCACTGAAGATATCAAGGGGAATATTCGACTACCTCTAAAAGGACAAATGTCATTAGACGTTGTTTGCTGATTCGATGCAGCCGAGCTCCAGTCACCAGAATTAGCATCGTTAGTAAATCCATTAGTAGTAGCAGCTGAATTAACAGAACGATCAGTTTGAGGACACAAAGAGTGTGGAGGCTGTCTTAGAAATGTCCAATCAATTCCTGAGAACCTTGATGCATATGGTGCTCTTATCGTGTCCAAGTTTTCTAACGACTGTCCTCGGCCTTCTGATTGCATGGAAAATGTTTGTGATCTATTAACTACTGACCTTGGGCTGGTGAGATCAATAACGGCTAAAGGAGTTAGAGTCATAGGCATAAGTGGCATATGTAATAGTTCACTGATCAGGTGTTCTGGATCATTTCTTAAACCAGGTACGCGTGCAGTGAAAAGAAGTAGAAGACCATCCAGACGTCTTAGGGCAAGTGGGTGGGACTGGATAGCTGGTTGTAAGTAATTAGCAGACTCTCTAACGCTAATAACATTTCGGATAGATATTCTACTACTAGTTCGTTGATTTGGAACAGAACTGACAGAAATTTCTTCTGAATTTTGTGGTGTAAGGCACGTCAGTCGGGTACGATCATTATATTGACTGAATTGACCACTAAGAGCTTCACTGAACCGTGCTTGATCTATCAGTTCACTTAAAACACGTTGATATAAAAGACGGTTTGGGAAAATTTCTGAGCTACTTACTGACCCATCATGACTCAAATTAATAGTCCGCCCTGACGTTTGACCTCTTAATCTGGAGAAAGATATGATGGCTTCAAGAAGAGCATGACAAGAACTTCCTAAACGAAGACAATTAGGATGACAAGTTAGTGAAGGACCATGAAAAACTAATGGACTAGGTAGGCTAGGTGGAGGACCTCCTGTACCAGGTAAGGGATCAGGATGAGAAGCGCCAGAGACAGCATGAACGAACAGTCTTTGGAGTAGCCAATTGATTAGAGGATGGATGATAAGTCCTTCAGGTTGAGCGAAGCCAGGACGGAGTCGAGGCCAACAGGCGGAAGCAATATATACAGCCAAACGAGGCTCAGGAAAAAGTCCTTGGAACTGTCTATCCCTGTGTCTTTCAGTTGATGACGACATCATTCCACCCAAAGAGACTCTGCGCCGATATAGACAGACCGAGGAGTCGTATTCTTCCATGCTTCCGGTGAACTGAGCAAATTGCAAAATCTCCGAGGCTAGATGATGAAGGTACGCATGGGGTACCAGTGATGGGTGAAGAGCTGGTTGACTTACCAAAAGATCAACAAGTGACTGTTCGTTTGTTATTGAGACTGTACATATGTGTTGCAAGACTATATTGGTTAAATTGTCGAGTTCCCTTGTTTCTACCTCCAAGCCCGGAGGACCAGATATAAGAGGAGATGTTACAGCGGCATTATAATACCCGATATCCTCCGAATTTTCACGACTTCCCTGCGAACTATAAGAAATGTCATAAGCAAGCCAAGGGGCGATAACACGTAATTCACGACGGACAAATGATGCGAGCCTGTGTCTATGAGTTTCGTTTGCTGCTAAAAATTCTGGACTGATATTTCGTGTGAGATCAGACCTGTATAAGTACAGAAATGTATAATATAGAAATTCAAGATTAAATTTTAAGTAAATTGACTAGAAAACATTAGTAACTCATTACTAGACAACTAAAACAATATATGACAGTAGTAAACGAGATGAAATTTGACACGAAATAAACGAATACCACAATTTTTATTTACATAAACTCAATTCCATTCGCTGCTTTGAAACGATTCTGATAACAATCGATCTAAAATTGTTAATAATTCATAGTAAGTAAATGGGATTTTCCAATAAATTTATTACAGCACTACAACTAGTGTAAAACACTGAAAAGCGATTGTTTAATTTCACTTGAGAATACGTAAATTTAGCTTCAAGTCATAGAAACAAGTAAGAACATAAATTTCTAACCGAAGATGAAAACGTCAACACTATTTGTAAAAAGTCTTTTTCAGTATACTAAATTCAGTTCAAGTATTTGTGATTCAATAGAAAGATGATAGCCCTGAATAAAAAGATAACCTTGTTTCAAAACAAGAAAAGTGCTTACTCAATCTATTTTACATAAAACAAACATGACAAAAAGCATCCAACAAGGGACACGAGAAATAGTCTAATTCTCCTTAAATTAAATAGAATGATTCCATTATGTAGCATATGCACTTGAATTTGAAATAATTTGTATAATTCATGCAAAATAGTTCTAAACGTTTGAATCTTAGTTTTTTGTTTGTCAACCCCCAACTGTTATTTTATATAGCAGATAAACTAAGACAATACATTTAGTTATTATTAAAACAGAATTTACAAATATGAGGAGGTGAACTTTTTGAAATAGACAAGAAACAAGTCACCAAATAATCCTCAAACACTTTGAATTATAGCTTAGATAAATGAAGGGACAGAGTACGAAGAAGTAGTAGTCTATCTTTCAAATTTACAAAAAATTCTACGTCACAATAATTGCTAGTATTTCAATATTGTACCAAAAAGATAATATTGAATAAAGCCAATAATAATAAAACATAGCCGAAAACATCAACAAACCATTTTAGTTAATTAATCAAAATAAAGTCTCAATAACTAATTTATGAAAACTATGAAGTATGAACGTTTGAGACATTAGTTCCGGGGACGACTGATACTTTTTTACTAATTTTATATTTCAGACACTTATATTTATTAAACTATATGAAAGAAATGAAAATTCATGGGATTCAAAATTTTCACAAATACGTGTTCGCAGTTAACTCCTCAAAAAATATTATTGGCAGATGAATGGTGCAGAGCAATATGGAATGGTGTTTCTATGGTTGATACTTTTAATCATTTTTCTACATCATGAGTAAAATGTATCACTAGGATTGTTGCTTATCAGGAAATTTTTGCTATTACCATAATAGTTATGACAGAAACAAGCTCAATTTGGTATCATGCAACGTAGAAAAGCTATCTAGTCATTAAATCTTAACCATCATAGTAAAACAAACAACATGAGCAACTAAACCAAGGTAGCAGGTAATTATAAAAAAACCAGGATATCAAATACAACCGCCACATATATGGACAGCAATAAATAAATAAAAGTTATATATTCTTCCGAGAAAAGAATATTTGAAGGCACTTACTCTTGTAGGACAGGAATGGAATCAAGACAGAAAATGTATACTAGCTGTCGAAGTAGTAAAATATCCAAAAGCGAGGAAGTGCTAGATCGAAGAGCATTATCAACCAAAATGGTTAGAAGTGACCGACGATTTTCTGCTGATCTACAAGAATATAAAAAGACAGGGGTGACTATCTAACCAACATAACCTATCAGTATGTGATGCAGCTTACGTACATGTGTTGATAAGATTTCACAACAGTATTAACCAACTTAAAAAATTTACTTGGCAATCTGGTGGTCCTACAGAGAGCGACCGAATAATTGCAGACTACTCATATCCTTTATTATTTATGCGCTTTAATACTTATATGTAACTTACTAATAGTATTTGATCATAGATGCCCTCGAAGTATTGGTCGCGTATATTGGAACAATAGAGCGAGTAATACTCGAGTTAGACGTAGCGTACTAGATAGAAATGACAAACTGGTTGATGAGGCAGTGAATCTTCACCAATCGATGTGATTGGGACATGTATTACGTATGCCCAACCACCTTCTACCTCGACGCGCGTTGTTTCCTGGTGTAGGGGTAATTTGAAAGAAAGCTAGGGGTAACCAATCCAAGATGTGGTACAAGTTTATGAAGTCATTCACTGTTGGGTTGAGTCGTGTTGGTAGGTGGGTAGTTTGCGGTTAGCACAATCACCGTAACCAATGGTTGGAGGTGTCGAGTGACATGGCTTCAAATTGATTACAATGGTGGTGCAGACACTTACTTCAGGTTTAGTATTGAGTTTGACAAACGGTTACGGGAGGTGACGATTAAATGGTTAGTCATTATATCTATCTAAGCAAATAATCAACAAAAGACTGAGTCCATCTATCTTATTGACTTAATAGAGAATTCCACTATTTTCTAAGCCGTCTATCTCATAGTACACAACACACCGGCCAGTCATCTCCAAGCAACTTTATCCTGGGCTCACCTTTCTAGTTGTTACCAAGTGGTACTTAAATTCATAGTGCCTGCTTCCGATCCCCGGGACTATGTGTTCTTTTGTCACCCTCTTTCCTTTCAGCCTTCAGTATTTCGGGTTAAGATTTGCTTTTTGTTACAGCTTGATGGTTTGTGTAAAATTTGTCTTATCCACATCCAAAGTCTTTCCCTAATTTCCTCTTCAGCTGGCATCTGGTCCGTTTTCTGCCACAGTAGGTTATAGCTGGTGGCGTCTGGTCAATGGATTTAAAGTATCTTACGTAGATAGCTGTTTATAAATAACTGTACTACTTTGATAATAATAGTTGTAGTAGTCCTGCAAGTTTCAGCTCCAATATCTGGAAATGTTTTGACGTTTGTGCTGAAAATTCCGACTTTGATGTTGACTGATAGTTGTTTTGAGTTCCAGATACCCTCCAATTGTAATAATGTAACCCTAGTCAGTCTATTCAAGAGTTCTTCGAAGTGTTTTACCCACCTGTTCTTCTCCTTTTGAGCCTTAGTGATTGGTTCTCCTTTTTTATCGCTGACTAGTTGTTCTTGTGAACCATATTTTACTACTAGTCTCCTGACTATATACTGTTGTTCCGCCTAAATGTTTATTCATGCTTATGTGATCGATTTGGTTTTCCATAGTGTGGTCCGGTGAAACCAATGTAGATTTTTGAAAGAAAATACTACCACCTATATACTGTTGAAAGCATATAGGTTCGTCAATCTCTCCTGATTATTGTTCCTTTCTTCCAGTTCGTATCATCTCACGATGCATTTACACTCGGCGTTCTCCATTTCGGCTTTGATATTTCTTTACTCTATCAGGATAGTCAAGTGTTTTTCTGGGCATTTGTATAGGATGGACTACAGCCTCTCAAAAATTTGGTGTTTATCATCATCACTGAGATTAGTAGTGGGATGCTTAGTACCGGATGACATTCATTGTGATCTTTTCGTTTTTTTCATTTAAAGGATTTTTGATTATCCTGAAGTTATAAGTTTGCTGTCTAATAAGCGATCTTTGCGCTTCTTTTGACAGCGTTAGGAAGGGCACCGGTCTCGAAACTTCCGGAGAGGTGGCTTTTACCATGACATGTCCTATTTTTTTTATCTGGAGACCGTCCAACTCCCAGAACGAAATTTAAATGTTTTTTTCTGGTTAGTCTTTTTGGTGAGATTGTTTTTATAAAGTGAGTTTGTTAGTCATACACCTGAACCTCTCCCTTATCCCAGGCATGAGATGTGCAGTAACTCTAGAGGGGCTCAAGGTGTATTTTGCACAAAAACTGATTACTCATAATGAAAGCCGAAAAGATCGTTTTATGTATATTCAAATGATTGAATTTATTCTTCAAGATGTCAGTTTAAAAAGATGACATTATTTATGATACACATAAAATGCCTTTTACAAATGAAGGGAATATACAAAACTTACCCTAGTTCTGGATTCCATCTGTATGACATGTGTGAAGAAGTATCAAGAATGCCAACCGCTCTTGATTGAGATATTGAGGTATCAGATGGAAAAAGAATGGGAGGTATGTATAACGAAGTACTATCTGGTGAACGAGTCACTCCATCGAGATAATTGAGTAAACGCACTTGATGTGTACCTAAATGATGATGATAGTGATAATGATGATGTGATCGCGGAATAGTGGTGTCATCTGGTGATGCATTTAAGTATTCATCATCTAATCGAAATGTAGTGGATAGATTATTCACTCGATTACGTCGGTTATTATTTGGTAAATCAGATACTAATAATTCAGTGAATTCTGTATCAGACAGAACAGAATGAATAATTTTTTGAGCCAAACGTTTACACAATGGACAAGAAGGATTGATACAGAGCCAACGATAAATACAATCATAACAAAACGTATGCATACAAGGTAAAACAACACAACGATTTGATTTCTCACATAAACAGATTACACAATCGTCGTCACTTTCAAGACCAGTGGATCTAGCTGCTGCCAGTGCCGCCCGAACGTCTGGGCAATCAATAAGACTTTGAGAGCGCCTACTATTGTTTGTACGTGGTGGATGGTTGGTAGATGGAATGTTCGTAGAAGGTACGGAACGCGTATTTGTTGCTGACAGGCGACGTGTGGCTCTTCTTCCAGACCTGGTGGTACGTAAACGTCCAGGTCTGTTACTGGAATCAAGGTCTTCAGTGCGAGTTAATTGGATACTATCATCGTTAAAACTCTCCAGGTTTATTCTAACACTTTCAGTGGTCGACTCATTCTGATATGAAGGACTTCCATGAGAGGAGAACAGAAGCTGAAGAAATGGAGAACGGACGAAAGTGCGTCGACGACTTCGACGAGGAAGAGAAGCTGGAACATTGGGATTGCTTGGTTCTAGGTTATCTGATAAACCACGACTACGTGATCTTGGATTAGCAGTAGAACGCTGAAAATCACGTAGAATACAACAAATATATAGGTGAGGTGACGGTAGAGTAGGTAAAAAGTAACTGAGATTTCTAAACTATATAATCAGATCAGCTTGTTCTTGAGAAGAGGAAAAAATAACAAAGTATATAAAAACCAGAATTGGAGTTATACATTTTTCTTCAATCTCAATATCAGCTTTACCCAAAGATTGACATTCAGAATAGAAAACCTTGTGTTTTTCCAAGAAGACGTTGGAAAATACAGTAGTGATATGTATAAAAGCAACAAGGATGATCATGAAAAGTTAAGAGATAATTATTACAGAGAGCAATAATCAGAATTTAGTAACTTTCCAATCTACTACAAACTAGGACATTGTGTAACAAGCGAAAGTATCCACTCCAGTGATACCTGAGAAAAATGTTTAAAAAAAGTGAATGACCTAATCAAATTAAAGATTCGAATAGAAGATAAATCCACAAATAAAATAACACAGAAAACAAATGATCTAACACAATGCGATATTTACAACAAATAAAATGTTTAGGAGTAGAGTTTTAAATTTCTTAGTTTTCAAACCATACAAGAATAAGCCATTGATAATGTAAGCTCTTTAAGTGTGATTTACGTAACCAGCTTTAAAGCAATCACGTGAGCATTCACGAAGTCACTGATATTACCTTGTTCTTCATTTGCTGTGTTAGGGTTAGTCTGGTTGGAAACTTAACATGTGGTTTGGTCACAGTGAATGTCATTTTTGATTAATCTAACTTAACCAATAACATTTGTAGTTTAAATAAAGACTTTAGTGATTTTCACACTGAATACTAGGCAAGATAATATAAATATCGATGGAAATAATAACGTCATATACTAGAAAAATCCTTTACTCGTCATTTTTTTATTTATCTTAACACATAGATATTGGTACAAAGAGGCATCAAATACATATGCACCACACAGATCTAATTTGATATGTGTGAGGACTGTGATACTGCCCGGGTGCCCAAACCGAAGCAGGTGGTCTTCTTAGGGAGCCAAACCCGGAGCCTTGAACCTGAAAGTCTGATCCACAAGGCAGTGGAGCAACGTCAGGAAATGCAGTCTCATGGTTGTCGATGACCAACGATCAATTCATACGTCATTTGTTCCTTCAGGATACTGGAGCCCATGTGCACCATTGGTTTGGAATCAGGGTTTTCCAACTCCCCTAAGTGGACTCTCCATGTCCACCAACCCGGTTAAAGCGCCGGACATTCGCTTTTTGTCCTCTCAATTTCGTAAACAACACTCCCGCCACGAGAAGGCAGAGAGTAGGACTTCCCTGACAGGGAAATCCTTTATTCATTGCGAAATATTAACTAGACAAACTAGATAAAGTTTAGATATGAAGAAATTTATTAGTACCGTGGTATTTGTGCTAAGCTCCAAGCTGAATGATATTGTGTGAATGACAATGACACTACCTAAATAACTAGTTTAATGTGGGTATACATTGAACCCGTACTCATAAATAAAATTTTCTAAAATTAGCGTCACTGATAAATGACGTAATTTATATTGTAAAGTAACAGTACTTCTCAATACACCGAAAATAAATACTATTTGTTACACGTATGGATAATTTGCAACTGAAGACACTGTTCGATCAGTTTTGGAGACCTTTTATAATTATCTAAATAATTAACAATCAATATCTAAAAATATTTATGTAACACGCTACTAATAAATAAACACTGAGTATAATATTACAACATAATTAAAATAAAAAGACATTTCATCAAGCGTTAGGACAGTACAGAATTGGCTAAACTTGTTTACATTAATTATCGACTCAGGTAACGCTTGTGAAGCAGAGAATTAATAACAAATCTACAGTATCTTGGTTATATCTTAGTATTCAGAACTACTAAGTTTATGTAGAAAATAGATGGAAACTAACCTGGGACAGATGATGAGTTCGGTCTATTCTACGAACCTGACGTGTTCGTCTTGTTGGTGGAGGTGGTGAACGTGACGAATTACTGGATGATGATGAAGAAATGAACGACGCTCCCACAGGCCTCGATCGACTCAGTAGACGATAATGCAATGTATCAATAGAGGCTTCTGGACAGTCAACATGCTGAACATCATCTGTTGTTACAACATCACCCTGGCGTCTGGAGATATGAGGCAAAGCTGCGGCTCGACGTCGGCCATACATAGTTCGAACAAACGTGCAGTAATGCACAAAATAGGTATTAAACTTTGGGACTAGACTATAGAAAGCATAAATGGGAGTTAGATCGTACGACATGATAATTCAAAGAAAAAATTTAAAAAATAGGTAACTAATTATTTATTTCAATTTTGAATAACTGATGAACAACAGGAATGATTTATGTTTATATTTTTCAAGATAAGAAATCTAAAATTTAGAATATATAGTTAATAATTTACTTTAAATATCGCAACGATAAAGCAAAAAATACATTGCAGTTCAAAAGATGAAGAGAAATGTAAAATTGAGTGACTTAGGAGCAATGATGCGAGGTAATACAGATACTCTTGAAATGAATACGAATAGCAGTTGTAGTGCTTATAATGTTTCAGCCCAGGGATTTTCGTTTAGAAAAGCTTGTACAGCCTCTCTCATAGACAAATTTGGTATAAGCTGATCTTCTATCAATGGTTGACGTGAAACAGGATCAAAGTGTCCAACTTGGCGCAGGTGAGATATAATTGACGGCCGATCATAGGTAATTCCACAAGGTGTGATTACAGGATCTCGCATTAGATCAAAGCTAATACGACCACAAAGGTAGTCTGGAATCTCACGTTTTTTTCGGCGTTCGTCCACCTATAAAATAGTAAGTAACTTACAATTTATTTACTTCGTATGCTAAGTATAAAACAAAAATGACTTTCTACACTGCTTAATGAACCAAATGAAGCACTTTTGTGATGTCAGTAGTAAATAAAACCAACTTTTATTGTAAGTCTGCTATCACTTGTGATTGCACTGCATTTTGAGACATTTCAATGAGATGACGCATCGAAGTGCCTTAAAAAAGAGACTCAATGCTCAACCGTAAATCATATCAGTAAATTACTTAGCACATGGAAATAACAGCCTACAAAATATCAAGTGTTCGAATTAATCATACGTTTGTTTCGATAATGATATTAGAAGACGAAGATTATCAGAACTATGTGCCCAAATGGCTTCAGAAACAAATACAATCAAGTGACCCAATAAGAGCAGAGGATAAACATCCATCATCCTCTATTGCTAAACATATAGTTGAAACAGGTCACAAGATTGATCTAAATTCAGCTTTTGTAGTGCTGTATAAAAGTGTAAACGGGCGTATACTAAGGTTTACTGAAGCCTTAGCCATACGAGAATTCAAACCCCCTTTATGTGTTCAAAAACAGTTTGTTCTTACCTTAAACCTACCCTGGTAATATTGACTTATTATCCAGAGTGATTAGGTTTCGCTTTGTGTTCACATTATTATTATTATTACTCTTATCATTATCCTTATCTCCTCTCACCCCGTTTCCTGTCTAGTTGACCTTTTATTTTCATATATAAATGCTCTTAACAAGCATATATGTGACCAGATTGTTCGAAATGTATTGCGCTAATATATCACATAGTTCTGATAATCTTCGTCTTCTAATATCATTATCGAAATTTATCAAAGGGACTAATTGTTTTAAATACATTTGTTTATTCAATTTTATATGAGGTGTATTTCTGAAACTTGATATGGAGGGATTCTTTACAACAGCACTGTCATAACTTAGTATATCAAATCACCAGAAGTTTTTTAATTATACCTTCTAGGAAATGTTTACATTAAAACCCCAGTATATAATTCTGAAGAAGAGACATTGGTTGGTATGGATACTAGAAAAAACAACTATTGGTGAAGGGAGTAAACTACAAGTGGAAAGTGAAAAGTACAAATTGGTAGTGTGATAACAGGTGCATTAGTTTTTTATAAGAATAACAAAGGTTCAAAACAATGCTACATAATCGGAAATAGGTCAATAATTAGAAAAATATAGACAGTGAGATAAAATTTATAAAATTACAAGATGACGTAATAAGGAGTGTTCAGATAATTGGACCGTGAAACGTATATTTGAGAGAAAATAAACTAAAATGGTAGGAGGGGTGAAGAAAAATAATAAACGAAGGGAAAGTTTGAAGAAATAATAAATAAATTCATTTATTAAGGGCAAGGGAGAGATAAGGGTGTTGCAAATTTCTTTTGAACACAAAGACTTGGCTTGTTGGCTCGAATTCCCATAGCTTCTGCTATGTGTAAGAGACGAGATCGGACACCATAAGGAAAACTAGTGGCAATACGATAAATAATTTTTAATGACTTGTTTCTGTCCACTACATGACCTCTATCGATCAAGTATGATAGAACCGAGCTGCGTATTGTCTTGACGTTACCTTTTTCTAAACACGAAGGGAGGTGTTCACTAACTCTTTGGTTCAGTTGCCTGGCCTGCTTCGGTTTGAGCACCCGGGCAGTATGACAGCCCACACACAAATGATGAACTCTTTATGTCTATGGAAATTACTTTTCCCGCTTCGAAAAACAATCAATTGATTCGAATTATTATCATTACAATTATTGTCATTATTAATATTATTATTATTATTATTATTATTATTATTATTATTATTATTATTATTATTATTATTATTATTATTTTCCACATTATTCACCCTCTTTTATACTTATACAGCGGCTCGTCTTTGGTGGAAATTCGATTGTATCTAAACGTTCTCGAGTCACTGTCCGGTTGAAAATTGTATGTTACCACCGAATACGAATACTGAAGCAGTTTTTCTGAAACCACGTGCACCATTCAAACTGGCTGCCTTCAACGTTCGCACATTTATGCAAGTCGGACAACAGATAGGGCTGGCTATGTCTCTGGAAAGTCTTAATATTGATGTTTGCTGTCTATCCGAGACCCGTATTCAAGACTCTGGCCAAAAACTACAAATTCGATCTCCATCTGTCGTTTCGAAAAGCTTGTTTTACGTGCGCCTATCCGGTAACCCTGTGGCATCTTCGTCTGGTCTTGCTGGCGTTGGTGTCGCACTAAGCGCTAGAGCTGAGGCAGCACTAGTCGATTGGATCCCCATTAACAGTCGGTTATGTGCTGTTAGATTATAGAATTCCATCAAAGTGAGAAGAAATCGGCGTGAGAAACGATGTCTTTTCGTCATATCTGCCTATGCCCCGACAGATTGCAGCCCGGATGCAATCAAGGATGAGTTTTACCACCTGTTATCTGTTCTTCTCCAGAAAGTGCGTTCGACAGATATTGTAGTACTAGCCGGAGACTTGAATGCTCAGGTTGGGCGTCTAGGCACAGAAGAGAGTCGCGTTTAGGTGGCCGATGGGGACTCGTTGGTCGCAGGTCAGATAACGGGAACCGTCTACTGCAACTTTGCACAGACCACAACCTGTTTCTGGCTAGCGCTAACTTTCGGCACAGTCATCGCCGATGTGCCACCTGGCGTCCTCCCTCTGCATCTCAAGCCTGGACTCAGATTGATCACATCGCGATCAGCTACCGCTGGCGTGGTTGTGTACAAGACTGCCGCTCCTTTTGGAGTACCTATATGGACTCTGATCATGCCTTGGTCTGCGCCAATCTTGCCTTACTTTTCAGTGGCCAACGAAGTGACCACCACCAAAAGATTGATGTTAGCAAGCTGGTTGCAACTTCTGTTGCAAATAAGTATCGAACCGAGCTAGCCTCTAGGCTAGCTACCACTCCACCGAAAAGTATAGATGAGCATTGGTTGCAATTGCATGACGCCATGAAAATGGCGGGAACAGTCAGTTGTGGGTTTGCGAAACGTCCCGCTTTTAAGCACTGGGTTTCTTCTGGTTCCTTACAACTCATTGAAGCCCGTCGGTCAACTCCGGGTGACCGTGAGTTTGACCATAAACGAAGGATGTTATGTAAAGGAATTGGGCAAAGCTTGCGTAAGGACCGAGAAGCCTGGTGGTCAGAATGTGCTAATGAGCTAGAAGCAGCAGCTGCATCTGGTAATTACCGGAAGCTCTTCCAGCTCATCCGAGCCACTGGCAGCAAGAGGTCTGGTGTGAGTGAAACAATCTGCGAGGATGATGGGATGCCAATCACTAACATCCATCGACGTCTTGGACGGTGGGCAGAATTTTTCGAAGGGCAGTTCAACTGGCCTGCTGCTCCGGCAACATCGGTCAGACTGTCCTGCCCTCCATGGCCGGTGATGACTGATCCACCAAACGAGGAGGAAGTTCGCAAGGAACTCCAACTCTTGAAGCGTTACAAATCACCTGGCCCAGATGACTTACCTCCGGCTCTTTTTAAAGATGGTGGTGACTTTTTGACTAAGGAATTGACGACGTTGTTTACAAAGGTTTGGGAACTAGAGAGTGTGCCAACATCATGGAATGAGTCGATAGTTGGCCCTATCTTTAAAAAGGGTTCACGTCGTTCCTGTAACAACTATCGGGGGATAAGTCTACTTCCGATTGCGTCCAAGCTATTGGCTTCCGTCATACTTCGTAGGTTGTTCCAAACTCGAGAAAGATTGACTCGCGAGGAGCAGGCTGGGTTTCGTTCTGGTCGAGGATGTATTGATCATATCTTCACCCTCCGCCAAATGTGAGAACACCGCCATACGTATCTAAGGCCAACAATCGTAGTGTTTCTTGACATCAGGGCTGCCTTCGATTCGTTGGACAGGACTGTTCCCTGGGATTGTCTATTGAAGAAGGGTGTGCCTGAGAAGTTTATTAACATCCTAAAAGCCCTATATACAAACACCTCAGGCAGAGTGAGGGCATACAACCACCTTTCTCCATTGTTCCATCCAAGCAGTGGGGTTTGACAGGGTTGCCCAATCTCACCTTTCCTCTTCAACTTTGCCATCGATGACATTCTGGAAACAGCTCTGATGGATGTAAGTAATGGTGGTGTGGATCTGTTGTTTGGAGAAAGACTTCTCGACCTTGAGTATGCAGATGATATTGTCTTACTGTGCGATAATGCCCAAGGCATGCAATCCGCACTTAATCAGTTGGCAATCAGTGTCCGTAGGTATGGTATGTGCTTTGCACCTTCCAAGTGCAAAGTACTTCTACAAGACTGGCAGGATTCTAATCCTGCACTCACTCTGGATGGTGAACATATAGTAGTCGAGAAGTTCGTGTATCTGGGTAGCTGCATAAGTGCTGGTGGGGGTGTGAATGATGAAATCAATGCAAGTATAGTGAAAGCCAG